CAGAGGAAGTGAACAAAGCCCATCAGCCATGGTCTGCTGCCTCCCGTTTAACTAGAACTCTTTGCCAAGTTGAGGAAACAGAAATCCCAAGCCCCAACTCCTACTTTATCTTTGTCTACTTAATTATCTTTATTTTACAAATGATTTTGTGACTAGGTTTGAACAGAGGTAATGCAATTTACATGAAGATGCAACGTGACACCACTGGGCCCTTTCTCCTGTCTAGGACTGCTTAGGTAGGTCAAAGCACTCTCTCCATTGCAGTTTTAATGTCCAGGCTCTGAGGACCATGCCCCGGAGCCAGCTTATTGAAGTGGCAGCCCGGCTCTGATGAGTGGGGTTTGAACACAAAAACAAGTGATTTCTGATGAAGGCAATACTCCTATTATCTTAAATGGAAATTGGCAAATATATTGCAGCCAACTCTGTACATAAAATCCAGCTCAAAATTAAGCCAAGCTGGGTGGCTAATGGAGGTTTGCAAATACAGCAGTCATAATGAAATGGATGTGTTTTAATGATTTCCTATAAAGGTGTTTATAAATGGAAGCTTTTTTCCCTGCTGAAGCAGTTTAATTGGAAAATGGCACGGAGTAAGAAGAGGCAGCCGCCCAGTTCCAACGGACATGCAGGGGCCGCGCTCTGCTGTCCCCAGGCCTGCCCTCCGTGGGAACCTGGCGGGAGCGGCCGTGCCCAGGGCACTCTCCTCCCGCCCCCTCTGTGCCTGCTTGTTCCCACTCACCCCTCAGCGGTCAGCCCAGATGCAACTTCTGGCATGCTCTGATGCTCCCACCAGAGGCTGCTGCTGTGGCCCCCGTCCACCTTCTGGTGTGGTCCGCGGGCAGGCTCTCCGTGTTCCCTTTGCATCCTCCAAGTAACCACAAGCTCCAAGATGCTCCCCGTCACCCACCTCTGGAAGCCTCCTGTGAGTGGGCACTGCTATGCTGAAGAGTCAAAGCCCCTGCCCAGGTGGAGCTGGCATTCTAGCACAAGGACTGACCAAGACTGGCGATATACACATAAGGAAGTAAAGACAAGCTGGAGGTATCCTCATGGAGGGCTAAGTGCGATGAAGAAGGGTGAAGAAGGGAGGAGGAGGGAGAAACACACTCGGGGAGTGGAGGCCAAGCAGTGTGTGCATGCGGGACAGCTCCGGGACCCCACGAGGGGCCTGGGGAGGCTGTGATGAGGGGAGAGCAGACTGACTGCGAGAGAAAGGGCGAGTGGGCATCAGTGGATGCAGGGACCCTGAGGTCAGAGACGCTGGTCAGGTCTGAGGGATAGCAGGGAAGGCCGGCGTGGCCAGAGCGGGAAGGAAGCAGGAAGAGGCGGGAAGGACAGGGTTTGAGGTGGGGGCTCTCCAGGTTCCGTGGGCCTGCAGGTCAGAGTGAGCAGTGGGGATGTCACCCTGGGGATGGCGGTGTGAGCCTGCGAGCACAGCGGTGTGAGGGCGGGCTCTGGTCTCACATGCACATCCCTAGCACGGCATTCAGTGAGCGGCTACATGAATGACTGACGGCTCCTACTGCGGGCAGAGAGCACACACAGCCCTCCGGCACACAAGGGTCCCTTCCCTGCAGGAGCCCAGGCTTGTCGGGAGTGAAACTACCACCAGTTGTAACGAACACGCATTTTTACTGAGGGAAAGGGCGAAAAGACATAATTTGGGAAGACAAAGCCTGCTCCCGGTGCAGACGGGCAGACACTGGCTCCCGTGGGGGCACCCGGGTATAGGGGATTCCCCACCACGGGAGCCCTGGGACGCCCACTAGCCGTCCCATCCACTGGAGGGAGTCTGACCTCCAGCTCCCCAAGTTTCTTTGATTAAGAAACTGTGTTGGAGTGTGGGTCACTTGCTTAATTTCATGAACAATAGTCTCAGAGAACTGAACAGAGGGGTGGGTGTAGGAAAGTGTCTGGGCAGCGACGGAAACTTCTTGGCTGCTGCACACGTCTGACTGCTTGAGGCTGGAAGCCTGGGTCCAGAAGTTCGAGGCCGCCGGGGTTCAAGGTTATGATGCTGGTATAATGGAGCCCAGAGGACCTGGGCTGTTTGCCAGGGGGTTTGCGTGTGCTGTGATGGCAGGCCTGGGGTCTGGGTTCAGCTTAGTGTGAGGGAAGCAGCTTCAGCCTGAAGCTAGGGCCCCAGGCCTACAAGGTAAGCCCTCTCCTCAGCTGCTTCCGTCTGGCTCAAGCTGGTATCAGTGCCCAGCACTCAGGGACGTCCATCTCATGTGGCCTTAGCAACCATCCACACTGGGGACCCTCCTTCCTCATGAGAGCCTCCCCCCCACTGCCTGGTGGGCACTCCTTACGGCGTCGGCTGACCGCCTGGTTGAGGGACTGGTTGACCGCACCACCCCTTCATTCAACCACGTATCTCTGAACCCACACTGCACTCTGTGCCAGGCCCTGTGGTGGGCTCCGGAGAGCCACGAGTAGAGAAAACAAACAAGCTTTTGCTCAGTGCGGTTTAGTGGGAGCGTCAGTCAGGCACAGAAGTACAGACACATCATTTAAACTTTCAGTGTGATGTAAGAAGGAGACCAGTGAGGCGGCGCGGGGACGTGCAGACGGGTGCTCGCGAGGTGCTCTGGGGGAGGCGCGTTTAAGCCGAGAGGTTCATCCCTGCCACGAGGTGCGCCTGGGTCTCCTCCGCGGCCGGGGACCCCCTACGCCTCGCCTCTAGCTCTCTACACTCCGTGCTCTTCACATCGACTCCCACTGCTTCCGTAACTATCTGCAAACAGCCTGACGTCTCCCGACTGCTTTCTTCAGCCAGACCTCTTGTGGTCTGTGTGTACCTACTGCCTTCCCAACATCTCCATCCAGATAGCTCCAGACACCTGAAACTTCTGCCCAAACAAAACACACACCCTCCTCTCCACCCCACCCATGCCCCTCCCCAACAAAACTAAATTCAGAGCAAAACCACCGAGTCCTTTTTCCTTTGCTCCCATATTGCTGATTGGCCCTGCCACCCACCCACTGGGCTAACCAGACACTCACGAGACACCCACGCATGCCTCCCTCCTTCTTTACCCTGTGATGGATTCCTCAGAAGACCTTGCCAATTTCCTGTGCTTATCTGCCTTCCACGACTCAACGGCCACCGCCTTTAATCCTGGCAGCAGTTTTGCCCACCCTGACTTCTGCAATGGTTTCCTGGCCGGCCTCCCCCATTCACTCTTGATCCACTGATTCTTTCTCTTCACTACAGAGTGACTGGTTCAAAGTGCCATCTGATCATCTCATTTCTCCCATCCACAGCGGTTTCTCGTGGGTCTCTGAATAATGGTCAGACTCTAACGCGGTCTGTGAGATCTTGCACAGTCTGGCTCCGGCCTGCCTCTCCCAGCCTCTGTCTCACACCCCTGCACCCTTCATACAGGATGATCTTATTCACCGCCTTGAATACATCATGCCCTCTCCCCTGCATGCCACTTCCTCTCTCATGTACTCTATTCCTACTTATCCTCCACATCTCAGCTCAAATGTCACTTCTGAGAGGAAGCTTTCCTGGAAATCTGCCACGGTACTATGTTTCTTGATGTTATAGCATGCATACAGGTTTACGTAGGTTGTTGTGAAAGTCACTCAGTTGTGTCTGACTCCTTGCGACCCTATGGACTGTAGTCCACGGAATTTTCCAGGCCAGAATACTGGAGTGGGTAGCCTTTCCCTTCTCCAGGGGAGCTTCCCAACTCAGGGACTGAACCCAGGTCTCCCACATTGCAGGGGGATTCTGTAGCAGCTGAGCCACCGGAGAAGCCCCAGAATACTGGAGAGGGTAGCCTATCGCTTCTCCAGAGGATCTTCCTGACCCAGGAATTGAACCAGCGTCTCCTGCATTGCAGCTGGGTTCTTTACCAGCTGAGCTACCAGGGAAACCCTGGTTATATTATAAGTTTATATAGGGAAGCCCTGGTTATTATATAGGTTTATAATTAAACATAAGTGTTTAATATTTGATTAAAGTCACTCTCTCCCCAGTGGAAACTTAACTTCTAATGCAAACTGTACTATACTTACTCTTCCTTCTCCTTGTCCCTTTCCCATCACCCCCTTATATGTGAACATTTCCTAAGATATGGTGCCTCTCCCCATTTGGACTTCACATCCTTTCAACCATAGGGAGCTCTTTACCTTGTAACTTCAAAGCCATTATCCTCAACCCCAATCTCTCCAGAGATCTATTTGAGCATCTCCAATTAGGCTAGAGGTTTTACGAACATTTCAATTGCCATCCATGGTTGAAACATTTCCCTTGGCAACTTACAACATATACATATCCAACAAATACGTGTCATGAAACAATAATACTATCATTCTGTTTTTTTTCTATTTGATTTCATTTTAATAACATTTTGATTTTTCATGTAATTTCAAGATTAGAAGGGTCATAACCTGTAGCTTAAAGCACACCATACCAACGTGCTGTTACCAGGTATTTCCACACAGACATTTCTTCACAACCTCAAACATGATATTTCCCAAACACTTATTTCCCAAATCATTTCTCAACCAAACCTCCTTAGTAAGGAATACAATCATTCTGAGTCACTCTGGATGAATGTGTTGAAGAGTCGTTTTGGACTCCTGCTTACCCCAGAGCTGCTGAACCTGTCGTCTCCTCCCCTGCAGTGAGTTGCTCCTCGGCCCATTTCTGCCATTCTTGCCATCACAGCTCAGTGTCACTGGACTTGGAACAGTGCAATCCCCTTTCTACCTGGCTCCCCACTTCCTGACTTTTCACATAGAAGGTGACATGTTTGAATCACAAACACCAAGGCAGAAAGGGAATTTAGCTCTTTGGTTCCACTGTGGCCAACAAAGGAACATGTAGAGAACTGGAGCGAATGAGCCTTCCACCTGCCTCCATCCACGCAACAAGCTGCCTGACTGACTAAACCTCAGTCCAGGCTGTCTCTTGTTTCTAAAGTTTTGATCACAATCCAGAAGCCGAGCCCTGGCGTTGTGGCAGTGGCAGGCAGACTTACCCATGTCTGCAGTGACCATGGTGGACTGGTTTTCAGGGACCGACACAGAGGTCTGGTCCTGATCCACGCTGCGAGAGTCCTCGTTGGCCTCGTGTTGACTCTGGCTGAGCTCTGACCGCAGTTCCGAGTACTCATCTTCCTCCCTGAGAACAAAAGGGAAGTCAGACTCCACCGACAGACACACAAGACACATCCCCAGAGAATATGTCTTTTAATAACAAGATAAAGACACTCAGAATGCAAACAGACAGCTCTCCTCTCCAGGCCACATGGACCAGGATTCCTTTCAGGCTAACTAGATGAGCAGTGTTTGACACTGAAAGTTTGCACACCCATACCCATATACCCGACAAGATTCATCTATCAGCCTACCGGAAAAGTACCCCCTTCAAACATTTCCTAAAGAAAGTAGACTTCTTCACCCCCTCAAATGCCAAGGTGAAGAAGAACTGAGATTCCGAGCACTGAGGCTGCAGTGAGCAGGCCCATCAAGGGCCTAGTGAATAGGAGAGACTCAGAGTATCACCACCAGAGTCCCACGCTGGGCTTCCTTCTGGGAAGAGAATAGAAGGACCGCTGAGGTTACAGAGACTGGAAAACCAGCATCCTGCCTGTGCAGATCAAAACCAGTGCTCTGAGAGGTGCAGGGGTCAGCATGTCTGAGAAAGACCACACTGAGTCTCTCTGCAGGAAGTAAGTGGAGTTAGGGGACAGGAAAGGAGAACGGGGTGAGGGGGAAAATCAGTGAGTGAGTGACAACCGTTCAGTGGTCTGTTTCCTTCAATCTGCCTTTGCTAGTAGGAAGATAACTGAAATTCATCCGTGTTTCATCTGCACAAACACACCCACTCCCTTCTCAGCCCCTCATGGATCCCTCATAACCTTTGGGCTCTGAATTAGTTATGGGCAAGCTAAGAAAACTTACAACTGCATTATGTATTTCAAAGTACACACAGACCTCCTTCCCACACCACCACCATCACTACACACGCACTGGATACAGACATTGAGAGAGCAAAAATTAATCTTTGATGCATTTATTTTACAAGTAAGCCAGAAAAGAAAACTGTCAGGGTGTTTAATTATGAATTTGGAAAGTCCAAAGGTGTCTGCTCAGCCCCGGGGGAGGGTGTCTGTGAAGAAACATAGGAAGAGATTCTCTTAACCTGGCATTCACATTAAGTTGTTGACAACCGGAGAGGAAGGGCAGAGTCCACAGTTTTGGGTGGACCAAAATGGTGAGCGGTGATCAGTGAGACTTGGGGAAGAGGCAAATGCCCTCTGAAGCTCAGGAGACACATCTATACTAGAGAAATGGGAAGAACTCTCCAGAGTTCTTGGTTCTCTCAAGAAATGAACATCCATCCTCTCAGGGAAAGAATTCGGTTAAGCCTTTGCTTTATAAAGTATTTCTGATAAAAGCCACACAGAAATCTAGGAAGACTTCAAACAGATATAAAATCACCAGACATGCAGAATGTGAATTAGAATGGGAGCGGTGATGGGAAAAAAATATAGGTTAATGTTATATGAATAAGTTAATTATTAGATATCTGCACGGCCAACAGTAATTAGGTTTAGGAAAGAAAAACAATTAGAAAGTACTCTTAAGAGTCACCACCTTTTTGGTCTAGAGGGTACCTGTGCTTTCACCGATCAGCTTCCTTTCAATCAGCAGTTGAAATCCTGATTTTAGTTAATGGGAGATTTTGTGTATAATGAATAAATTACCTTTGTTGTATGGCCAATGTAATCAGCTTCAGCTTGGCTGAGACTGTTTTTCAGCCAAAAAAGCCAGATAAACGCTGCTGCTGCACCTCTCGTATAAATGGTATTTGCAAAATCTTTTATAGCCACCTTCAACTCTTTTGGCTTGGCAGATCCCAAACATCTAGTGCCTGCCAAATCTCCTGCTTTGTAAAAAATTAGTTTATTGGGATGGATTTTATAAAGAAGTGAAAGGGGAAGGGGTGGGAGAAGGAAGCATTCAGTAAGGAAGGGAACATTCCTTACTGAGGTGAGAACACAGACTGAAGAACGATACCACACGAGAAATGTCACCTGAGGGCAGAAGACTTTCAGTGTCACGACATGCAAGCCAAGAATGCTCTTTCAAGGTATTTGAGCATCAAGACAAGGATAGGAAAGCAAAAACCAAGCGGATGCTGCTCTTTTGGGAGTCAAATATGTTCGCAGCTGGGCTTCCCATGTGGCTCTGGTGGTAAGAAGCTGCCTGCCAATGCAGGAGACGTAAGAGACGCAGGTCTGATCCCTGGATCAGGGAGAGGCAGCACAGAGAAGGGCAGAGCCACCCACTCCAGTGTTCTTGCCTGGAGAATCCCATGGACAGAGGAGCCTGGTGGTGAAAGCGACGTAGCACGCGTGCACATGTCCACAACTAATTCTGCCCTGTGGAGGATGCTCTGGGTGGGCTGCAGCTCTGGGGCTGCAGGTGGGCAGTGGCCAGGGGAGACTTGCAGGCTGGAGCAGCACTACAGAAGAGTCTGAAGGGGAGCGACTTTAGATAGGTCATGAGGGTGCACGGGCACATGCAGAGCCCCGGGGGAGCCCGTGGACGTGAACATGGGCGTGTGGAGCTTGGGACAGAGGGGCAGACAGCTGAAACCAAATCAGGGTGCAGATGGAGCCATGAGGCTGGAGGAACACTCGGGCCACTTGCTGAGTGGGCAATATTGGCCAGAAGCAAAACTTACTGTGTTGAAGAAGGAAACAGTCGGGGTCAAATGGTGGAAATAAATGTAAAATAATGTGTGGAGTCAAGGAATTCAGGGGAAGGAGTAAGTGTTGTGAGATCTTTTATGGAAACAGATACAACAGGCAGCGGGGAGGTATAGATGGTGTGTTCTCGACCCCACAGGCAGGGGCTGAGGTGAGCACACACCACCCCTGGTTAAGGACCCCCCTCAGGGGACCATAAGGAAGGTTACAGTACAACATTACATGAGCAAACAGAGGAAACAGTAGAGGTAGAAAGCAACCTTGTAAGGAGATTGTGTGCAGTCTTGTGCCCCCAAAATGAGGCACTGAAAGGTTAAACTGAACCTAAATATGAGAAAGTTAGTATAGCCCTGTTTCTCTTGCTGACTTTGGTAAAACAACAACAACAACAACAAACAAACCATGGAGTTGTATATCTTTGCCCTCTCAACATCCTTACTGGCAGGAACTGGGAAATGACAAAAACCAGTGCACTCCAAGCCCTCTGTAAGCTCCGGACAATTTGGGACTTCAGCATATGGAGGAGAAGGATGCTGGGGGCTCTCGCTATTGTTTTAGTCAGAAGCATTGGTCCATCCAGAGCAATGGGAACAAAAACAACCAACCAACCAACAACAAAAAAAACCCTGCAGGTCCATGGCAGTTTTACAAAGACAAGAATTTGAGGAGCTTTTTCGAGGTTCCTCTGGGCAGCAGGCCATCACCTAACTGGTCAAGGTGTGAATGACAGACAGCATCAGCATCTCAAAGTGACTTCATTGCTTGCTTCCTTCCATGGTGTATACACTAACTCTTGGTAAGTGATTTATCTTATTTCTTTGGGGGAAAAGATGCCTGATCTGAAGAACACTAACTGCTAAAGCTGAAGATGAAAAGGAAGAAAGTATGAAAAGGTCCAAGAAGTAGTCAAATTAAGTTAAAAAAAAACAGAGGCTTTGATAAACTGATAAATGTTGCTAATTGTATGCTATTGTGGTAGTTTCTTAACTGTTGTTCAGTCACTCGGTGGTGTCTGACTCTTTGCAACCCCATGGACTGCAGCACGCCAGGCTTCCCTGTTCTCCACTATCTCCCGGAGTTTACTCAAGCTTATGTCCATTGACTCGGTGATGCCATCCAACCATCTCATCCTCTGTTGCCCCCTTCTCCTCCTGCCCTCAATTTTCCCCAGCATAAGGGTCTTTTCCAATGAGTTGGCTCTTTGCATCAGGTGACCAAAGTATTGTAGCTTCAGCATCAGTTCTTCTGATAAATATTCAGGGTTGATTTCCTTTAGAATTGACTGGCTTGATCTCCTTGTTGTCCAAGTGACTCTCCAAAGTTTTCTCCAACACCACAAATTGAAAGCATCAATTCTTTGGCTCTCAGCTTTCTTTATGGTCCAACTCTCACATCCACACATGACTACTGGAAAAACCATAGCTTGGACTATATGAATCTTAGTCGGCAAAGTGATGTCTCTACTTTTTCATAATTACGGAATTAGAAAGTTACCAGGTGTTTTTCTTTGGCACATAGAGGGTCATCTCAGGATTCTAATGGTACATTAATTCATTCACTTAGAAGCATTTGTGAAGTGATACCAAGTCACTCAGTTTAGAGTTGCAGTGATTGAAGTTTGCTACTAGCTCAACAGCAGCAGCAGCAGCAGCAACAAAAGACTCTTGAGGAGGCAGGCATCAGACTGTATACACACCTGCTTAACTAGCAGAGGCAGAAAAGTCACAGAACGGCAGACTGGCAGGGATCCTGGTGATCACCTGAGCTAGGATCAATACCTTTGTCTTACAGATAAGACCACTGACACTCCTAGAGGCGAAGCGACTTGCCTAAGATTATCCAACCAGTTAGCAAGACAGCCTAATGCCTAAATTTACTACAAACAGAACAATAATATGATGACCTAAGGAAAAGATTTTTTAAATTAGTTAACCAATTTATTTATTTGTTTTTTGGAGGATAATTACTTTAAACTATTGTATTGGTTTTGCCATACATTGACATGAATCCAACACAGGTGTACATGTGTTCCCCATCCTGAACCCCGTGGAAAAGATTTTTTTTAGAGATTCTTTTTCATTGTTAGCTAGGGGTGAAATGATCTAATTGGAAAAAGTCAATGAAAGTTTAACTCTCACCATGCTTTCCAGACCTCAAGCTGAAGTCCTGTGGAGTCCTCAGCATTTGATAAAAATGTTACTTCAGAAGTGATCCCTATACCTATCTTATTTTGGGGTGCACACTCATGCCTTGTCACTGGACTGGAGTGACTTGGGAACAAAACCCAGAAGGACATGCCACATGTCAGTCAACTGTGGCCAGCCCACTCAGCCTGCCTGACACTTTGTGGTTTTTCTTTTGGAACATACTTGGTCTCTGCATTTAAAGGCAGAATTGCCCTGAA